TTTCTAGTTCAATCCCCCAGAGCTGTCATTGAATCTGGTCTCATCCATTGAGTGGTGTGTATTTGTAGGAGGGAACAAAAGGGAAGCAAATGGCAAAACAGACATCTGAAAGTTGCAGTGTAAGCTCTTTGTACTTGCACTATGGTGTAGTTGTTTCCTCTTTGCTCATGCCCACGAGGATGCAGTTCGTGTTATTGTGGTGTTATTATGCTGTACTCTAAACTTCCCCTTGTATTCCAGTTCTCCAAATTGATTGCAAGTGAGCATTTCAAATACTGTTTCTGGGAAACCATTATTTTGATTCAGTTTCTGGAAGGCTAAATTAGAGGTGAAGATAATAGGGTAAACAAAATTATAACACATGCTATTTGTCATATAAATATAAATAGCACTGACAAGTAAGCTCAGACCTGAGTGGAGGGGATGAGAGGGTTTAACTCTTTCCAACTCTGATTCAGACCAAAATCACTTGTAATCACACAGATTGCAACCTGTATTTTAAAGGGAATGCAAGTCATTTACTTAACTGAATGGAACATTAAGATGCTCAACTTAAGAAGAGAAAATATTAAAATTAAATATTCATCTTCCTTTATCAGGTTCTTAATTAATTTAAGACCCCTCAAATATTTTCAAGGTAAATATTTGGTCCAGCTGTCTTTTCAAGTAGATAACATATCTACTTCGAAGAGGCAGGGTTTTTGCAACAGACTATGGCACAAAAAATAGAATCAGCAGATTTGTTGGATCTCTGACAGAGATCATATACTGTATTTCCCTTCGAAATGGGAAAGAACAAAATAAAAATCTCTCCAATAGTACACTAAGTCTGTTGGCATCTACATGAAAGTGCTGATGGTCAATTGGATAAGAACAGAATGAAAGACTTCATGGGGAGAGGGGTCCTACCGGTTCGTACCGGATCGGTGGAACCAGTAGTGGAAATGGTGACGGGGTCTCTAAACCAGTGAGGACGGCATGCTTGCCACGCACCCGAACCGGTTCCCTGGTTGCCGCAACATCTTTTTTGGACCCTTTTAAATGTTCTGCAGAAGCGCAGACCTCCCTGTTTATAGGCAACTGTGCATGCAAATTTATAGGCAATATTGCACGCGCACCAAATCAGCAGTAATGCCGGCACACAGACACACACCCGGAGTGCATGCCTTTGAAAAATGTCGGTTCAACAGCCTTGTTGGTTGCAGAGCTGGAGAGAAACCTATCTATTTTACTTATTTATTAGATTTATATGCACCCACCTCACTCTGCAAAGCAGCTTATAAATTTAAATAAATAATAATATCTAGTAGAGGGTAATAACATGTTGCAGCCTTTTGTTGCAATATCCACTGTAATAGCAGTTCCATAAGAAGTGAGTCCTAACCTAAAAAACAATGCGTTAGAAGAATATACCTTTTGGTCCATAAACTTTTAACGTCGTTTCTGACACTTTGATGATATTGAAATATATTATCCACTTTAAAGCAAACGTTTATACTTGATTTCTTTTTCAAGTGGACTGCTCTTTTCTACTCTGAGTTATGTTGCATGAATCCTCCATTTGAGGGGTGAGGCTGGAGAGCTGTTCAGCAGGAAGAGCAACAAATCCATAGGGAAAACTTGCTGCATCCTTAAGAGCAGCTGTCCAACTAAAATATAAGAGGCTGGGAAGGAGGAGATACTGCTGTCAGCATTCCAAAGACCATGTAGAATTAAATCAGAGTCGAAGGCAAAACTATGATTAAAGTTCCAATTTAATAAAGCAGGCATGTTGGCACATAGCTGTTAATCCCAATTCCGGAAATTACATCAGAATCCCACCCAGTTAAAAGTTCATGATCTTGTCCCCACACCCACAGTCCATCACATGGTCCAATCTTCTTCTTCCACGCTGGCGTCCATACCCAACTTCTTCAGGTCAGGTGTACTGGTGTGGAGACAAAGGATGACCTTGGCTTCTAGCAAAGAATGAAAAACAATACATTCCAAAATCCTACTCCTTCTATTCCTCCCCTTCCATCGACTACATTTAAAGAAACAGCATAATGAAATAAGAGAAAGTGTGGCGGGCCAAAATTCTAAAAGGAATATAAATGCAGGCCTGACAACTGCATTAGCAGAAGACAGCAAAGGCCTGTTACTTTCACAATTACCCCATGAACCTCAGTTTCACTGCAAAAAATGACAGAGAGAGCTGGGCCTTAGCCTTGAAAAAAGATGGGGATAAATTTTTCAGGTCATATAAGGGTGTCACCAAGGCAAGAAACACTTTTAGTGTTTAGTCCTCATATTTATGGCTGTTGCAACATCTCCAGAATTATGTGATTAAAATTTGGGCATTAATCAGGTGGCTTTTCAAGTGAATCTGATTTCTCACATTGAGTTTGCTTGTGGGGAGCCAGCTGGAAAGGTTACAAATAGTAATCACATGACCTCAAGCAGGACAATGCAACCATGGTAAATACATGACAAATTTTAATCACATAACTGTGGAGATGTTGCAACAGTCATAAGCGTGAGGACTAGTTGTACATCCTTTCAGTGCCGTTGTAACTTCAAGCAGTTGCTAAACAAATTGTTGTACGTCAAAGACTATTTGTAAGAGTCTTCAGATAATGAATTGAGGGTTCCAGTTGAATCTCTTAATGGTCAGCATAATTTGAAACCTGGAACCAATTACCTACTTAAAGTTGGGGCAATTTCCTCTTGTTAGATATGTCCAGCCATCTGTCAGGGATGTCTTAATTTTGATTTATACACTGAACAGATGGTTGAAGTTGAGGATGTAAATGGCCCATTCCAGTCTATGATTCTTTGAGCTGGAAGACGTGTTTAAAATTGAGGTGAAGACTTTGAAATCCCGGTGGTTTCAGACATGCTTTTTCTTATCTTTTCTCCTGTTTTTTTTTTTTAAATTATAGCTGATTTGTTAAAGAAGTTGGTGCCTCAATTTTTGGCTTCTAAAATGAAGCCCAAATGTATCAGCAGAACCAGCTAATGGCTAACGCAAGTATACAGATTAAAATCACAATCTATAGGTATTTTTCTTCAATCCTCCAAACACTTGCAGTCAAACCTAACCATTCTGTGTTTTGTTTTTGTGCTTTGGACATTATAGCAATCTCCCCTCCCTTTAAAGGGATTTGGGATGATTTGCTATTTCAGGAGAATGTGAGAAAACAGTTATTAGATGCTCTCTGATCTCTGTTGTGATGGAGTGAGTTTGGTCTATCATTTCTAAACATCAGAGCATGGTATTTATCACAGAATGAAACAAAACCCATGTCAAGCTGCACTCAGGGCAGATTGTTTCGGTCACCTCTTGTTAACAGAAGTATTAGAAAACCTGGAATGCTATCACTGGTGACAGAATCAGCAATGCATGGTTAATGAAACCTGGCTCTCTCTTCTAGTTTAAATTGACCTTCTGTGCAACATAGGAAATGCTAGACTTGCCTTTTATGCCTAAGTAGAACTCTCTTTCCAAAGAGTATTAAGCACAGAATACACAATATAATAAGCCCAAGGTAAAGCTAGTAGATACTTTGGAAAGTATTGGTTGGTTAGGCAAGATGTGGTCAAATGCTTCAATGGAAGCCAGATGGTCATTGATCCAGAACTCCAAACCCAAATAACCATGGAGACCAGAGCCATGAAGACAACTTCTCTGATATTGTAGTTGAAAACACTGAACGCATGATATGGCCATGCTATAAACCATGCATTGTTTTCTTGAGAACATCCATTTTACACCAGGCACAAGGGGAAACTGGTTCTCAGATCAGTTGTATCTTTCAGATGAATGAAAATATGCTGTAGCACCAAAGAGAAATACCAATCTAAGGGACGTGGTGGCTCAGTGGCTAAGACGCTGAGTTTGTTGATCAGAAAAGTTGACGATTTGGTGGTTCGAATCCCTAGCACCGCGTAATGGAGTGAGCGCCCATTACTTGTACCAGCTTCTGCCAACCTAGCAGTTCGAGAGCACGTAAAAATGCAAGTAGAAAAACAAGAACCACCTTTCATGGGAAGGTAACAGCATTCTGTGCGCTTTCAGTGTTTAGTCAGGCCGGCCACATGATCAGAGAGACGTCTTCGGACAGCGTTGGCTCTTCGGCTTTGAAACTGAGATGAGCATCACCCTCTAGAGCAGTGTTTCTCAACCTTGGCAGCTTTAAGTCCTGTAGACTTCAATTCCCAGAATGGGGGATTCTGGGAGTTGAAGTCCACAGCACTTAAAAGTTGCCAAGGTTGAGAAACACTGCTTTAGAGTCAGGAATGACTAACACATGTGCAAGGGGAACCTTTACCTTACCATTTTTTTAAAAGATATGTTGTACAGGACCTTCCTTCCTTCCTTCATTTCCTAGTTGAATTATTGTAGGACACACCCAAAGGTATCCGGGCACCTAAATGCAGTTGTTTTTATAAGTTTTTTGAACAACCTACAACTGTTAAGATTTCCTCTAAAACAGTTCATTATCCTGTCTTGCAATGTTCTAAAATGCTAATTTGCCGGTTAAATGAAGTAACACTTGGCCTTTAAAATTGCCACCATCCTTATTTCCAGCATGGCTGGAGTGACCCTTAGAATAACTTAATATTTATCTTCCAGGCTTGCACTGAAGTTTTTCCCCTTTACATTTTTATGGAAAGAGCAGATATTCAGTGCTTCTGAATTCAGTCCGTGTTGGGGGTTCTAAATCTAAAAGGTTTTAAGGATATGGTTTTTCCTCTGCGCGGGGAATCCAACACGCAACACACCCTGAAATGGATTGAGCGCATGCGTCGTTGAGAGCGGGGGGGGTGGAGGAGGGAGGCGGATACGCCCCCTCCTGCGTGCTGCAGACCCAGCCGTTCTAAAACGCCCTCTTGTGTCGAAGAAGAGAGGGGGGAAAAAAGCGACCCGGAAATATAACTTCAAAAGCGTTCTCGCTCTACAGGCGTGAGTCTATGGAAGTAAGAAAAGCCTGCGCGGCGCCTTACGTCACTTCTCGTCGACGTTTCTCACTCCCTGCCTGGATTCGGCGCGCTTTTCCACTTGGTCCTCCCGGGTTTCTGCGCGGGACGCGGGCTCGATCGGCGCGAAGGAGCCGCTGACTGCTGGCTTTTGACGGGGGAGACTCCCTTTTCCTCCGGGTCAGCGCTTGAAGCGTGGGGGTGGGGGGAGGAGAGGGCGTGAATTTGTATGGCAGGTGGGGATACGGCAGGTGAAGCACCCGGGTGAGGGAAGGGAAGGTGGGCGAAGGCGCTCCGCCGGCCATCGGGAGCCTTGGAGGGAAGAGCTGACTCCGGCGGGCAGAAGTCTAACAAGGGAAGCCTTGGGAGTTGGCCTTGACCTGGTAGGTTTCCACAGTTTCTGCCAATTCTTCTTCTTGTTGTTGTTATTGTTATTATGTGGTAAATCTTTGGTGAGATTCACAGCCTTTGGCTGGTTGATAGCTCAACACCTCGAGTCCTAACCAAGGACCTAGGAACCGTTAAGGTAAATGATGATGATGATGATGATAATCTTTGGTGAGATTTACAGCCTTTGGGGCTGGTTGGTAGCTCAACAACTCGAATCCTAACCAAGGACCTAGGAACTGTTAAGGTAACGTCCAAGCAGGATGGTTTTTTGTAGAGTCAGAATGTTCAAGTCAGGTAAATTTAGAATTTTCAAATAGCGAGGTAGCCCTTTAGGTATTGCTCCAAGGGCTCCAATCACAATCCGAACAACACACAATTTCTTTTTCCAGTCGCTCAACTCCAATTTGCAGGTCCCAGTACTTTGCAATTTTTTCTTGCTGTTTATCTTCAATTTGTGCATCTCCAGGTATTGCAATGTCAATGAACCATCCTTTTTTTCTTTTCAACCATTGTTATGTCAGGTATGTTGTGGGCCAAGTGCCCGTCAGTCTGGATTCTGAAGTCCCACAAGATCTTGCCTTTCTCATTCTCTAAAACCTTCTCAACCTGATGGTCCCAGTGGTTTTTGCTGTACTCAAATCCAAACTTTTGGCACAATTTCCAGTTAATGATCTTAGCAACGCGGTCATGGCGTTGTAGGTAGTCAGTTTGTGAAATTTTGCTGCACCCGCTGATCAAGTGGTCGACTGTCTCATCTTTCTCATTACAGAGGTGACATCTGTTATTGGTGGTAACATGCTGAATTTTTGCTCAGCTCAGCACAGGAGTCAACCTGATAAATGGCTGCCAAAATTAACATCAGACTAACAGTCAAGAAGTAAACAGCAACCCAATCAAGGAACTGCCTAACAAGCGAACAGTAAAAAGCCCAAATGACCCCCAAGACCACCAACACTGACAGGGCAAGCCACTAAAATATAAAAGGAGAGCAAACCCCACTTCCTACTAGCACTGAAGATGCCCCAAAAAGTGCTTTTTTGAGGGGAAACTGGACTTTCTTGCTTTTCTTTGAAGACATTTCTTTGGCTTCTTGGATGAGAAGCAAAACGTCTTCAAAGAAAAACAAAGTACAGTTGCCTCCTGAAAAAGCACTTTTGGGACAACCATGACCTGGATGACTGAGAATCTCTACAGACTTTTAGCACTGATGATGTTACCTAATTCGGGTAATGAAACATCTGCAAGAAAACAACCAACTCAGAAAGCAAGGACCCTTCAACACCTTTTCCACCTAACTGTCCTTTACATATAATGGGTGATTATAAAAATCAATCAACAAATACATGAACATGTTCTTAAAGATTTAATTTCTTGTGAGTTTCAGCTGCTTTTTGAGATACAAAAAGTGGCAGTTGGTGAAAGCTGCATCTCATGAAAGTTGTGCTTCTTAAGAAAAGGTGTTACCAGATTCCTGGGCATTTCTCTAACCACTCATCTAATTTCTTTGTCTTCAACAGAAATCTACATAGCTCCTTAACTCTGCAACACAATGTTCTCAGAGCAAGGTATCCAGTCTGCACAGGGCCTCTTGACATCCCCGTCTGCAGTGGCTTCCACCTTTGCCCGTGTGCCCATTTCAACGTATACCAACTGCTCCCAGAATTTCAGGCTTGGGGAACGAAGTTTCAATCGGCAATATGCTCATATCTATGCTACACGCCTTATCCAGATGAGACCGTTATTGGTGGACAGAGCCCGGCGTAAATGGGGTGAGCTTATCCTAATGAAGTCTTGTTTTGCGGACACTGTAGAACTTTGAGGGTTTACATAGTATCACAGTATTTTTTTTAATCTTGATATGTGCTTTTTTAATATGCTGGTTTGGAACTTCATTGAACATACGTTTCCCCCCAAAAAGTAATAAATAAAATCTTACATTGTGAGCCCAGAAACTAAACAGATGTCGGACTTTCGACAGGTTGACTAGAAGTAACCCTTCTAATTAATTCCACATCATAGGCTCTTAACATTTTTTCACCTTTAATCCATTGTCCACTTTTCCTAAAGGGAGCAACATTACAGTGAAAAAGCTATGCGAGTTGCAGATCTCAGAGAAGTGTTGTGTGGTGGGAACACTCTTCAAGTGCATGCAGCTTCAGCCTTCCATCTTACGGGAAATCAGTGAAGAGGTATGAGAAAAGAACCTTATAGGTTTAATTTAAGAAGCATGGGAGATATCAAAGGCAGACTGAGGGATCTTCTGCACCTAAAGAACCTGAAACTGAGTTTCAGACCCTTCAAATTTTGCAGTGACCTTGCTGGACTCATAGTCCTAGTGCCTTGTATAATGCTGGGGTTATCAAAAAAAATTGGAAAGTGGAAAGAAGACATTCCTTGAACAAACTCCTCTTGCATAATAATTGCTCAAGATTTATGAGCAAAAAGATACATTCTCTGCCTGGAAGTCTGACATTTTAAAAGCTGCTCTCTTGCATAATTGGATTAACATTTAGCTTATTTTGGAAGGACAGTTGATGAGTAATATCAAATTTGTCCCAGTAAGACATTCAATAGCATGCTATTGATGGCAAGCATGTGTTGGAAATTTACCACCAAAGATTGGCTGTAAGAGCTATTGACCAAATGAATAACATCATTATAGGATACTTTTTGATTTCCTTGTTTGTTTACTAAAACCTGCTTGCTGTGTTCCTGAGTGCCAACAAACATAAAATAGAAACATCTTAGGAATGACTATTAATCCATTAATCAGGACAGGTTGGGAAATAAGTGCTATTTATTATAAGATTATTTTGCCTTATGGATCTGTTTTTTTGTGTGTGTGTGTGGTTGATTCATTGCTGTGTTGGCAATGACTAAGCATATCATAAATCCACAAGGCTCTTGCTGTTGATTTCAAAAGTATTATTTCAGAATGTTAAAGAGTCCTCAGTGATAAAAATGTGGGATGATTCAGCCATTTCCAATTGTCTGTCAGTGCATAGGATTTTGGAGAAGAATTGTGGGACCAGGGGGGTAAGTTGTTTTTGCCAGCAAATGCCAAGTTCTCCCTGTGGAGGAAAAGGCTTCTGCCAGGGCCTCTTGAGTTAAATCCATAATGGAAACTTAGCTCTTTCCTGTTTATTGAACATGTGTTTCTAGAAATAGCATGTTTCAATCTTCCCTTTAACGCTGCCGTCTGAATTTACTTAGTTATCTATTTACGGACTGCAGTAATTTTTTCTTAAAATGCCACCAACATAAAACAGAACTTTTATTTGCTATAAACTACTAGTGACAATGATGGAGAAGCCCCTGCTCTGCTTACCATGAGGGAGCAATAGAATATGAGATAATTCCTAAAAATATTATTATCAGGCCCTTCTGAAGGTAGTACAGTAATCCTCGACTTACAACCACAATTGAGTCCAAAATTTGTGTTGCTAAGTGAGATATTTGTTAAGTGAATTTTGCTCCATTTTACAACCTTTCTTGTCACAGTTGTTAAGTGAATCACTGCCCTTGTTCAGTTAGTAACATGGTTGTTAAGTGAATCTGGTTTTCCCATTGACTTTGCTTGTCCAAGGTCACAAAAAACGATCACATCACCCTGGGACACCACGACCATCTGAAATAGCATCCAAGTATAGATCATGTGACCCTGGGGATGCTGCAACGGTCATAAGTGTGAAAAACAGTTCAGAAGTCACTTTTTTCAGTGTTATTGTAAACTTTGAATGGTCACTGTATGAACTGTTGTAAGTTGAGGACTACCTGTAGAATAAGAGGGTAATGTGTGTGTGTGTGTGTGTG